AAAAAAAAAAAAAAGAGTTATACTAATTTGAGTTTTTAAATTTTTGTTGTATGTTTTTATTAGTTGAGCTAGTGATGCTCTTGATCCTAGAAGTGATGAATTTGGAGATCATGTTGCATATGTAGAAGCTGACAATAATTGCAATTAGATTAGAAGCAGTTGTGGCGGTGAAGAATGGTCTCGAGATTATGAAGAATAAGTTGAAAGCATATGAAGACTAGTTGAGAGGTTATGAAAAAGAAAGGGAGAAGAAAAGGCAATGCAATGAAGGAATTCAAAGAATGATTGGAAAATTTGAAGAAATGTGACGTACACAAGCGGTGATACGTTCCGATGAAGAGTGGCTGCTGGAAAACATTTACATACAGATACTATCTTAATTAGTCATTTCTTAGCATTTTTAGATTTTTTTAGTTGTTGATGCACTTCTTTGTTATGTTTAAAGTACAATTATATAACTTTTGTTCTATTTTAATTAAACACATAAATTAAGCTTACAATTTTTATTAAATTATATTTTTTATTACATTCTCTTTGCTGTCATTAAATTAGAAATTATTAAAACAATTAAATGAAAAATTGAATTGATGAATAAATGAAAGTAAGCTTTTAAGGACGTTCACCTCACTAAAGCAAAGATATTGGGGATGATAACGTGCCGACCTTGCATTCTCTGGGGACACTTTTGTCTCCAAATCTCTGCTCTTATGGGACATGTCGATACTAAAGGTTTCAGGGATATTGCGTCCCCATAGACTCTAAAGGTTTTCGTGATATGTTGCCCCCAATGGTTTCAATAAACGTGTTGTACTGAAAGATTTCGACAAAAACTTACTTTTATCTTTTTATTTTAATAAATTTATAGGTTTTAATTTCTCTTACTTTTAGTCTCTTACCTATACCAATAAAAGAAAATAACTCTTATTTAATATCAAGTTATAACATTCTGTTAGTTCTGTTAACAAATTGTTAATTTTATTAGCTGACTATTAACATTTCGTTATAGAAAATATAAAATTTAAATTCAATTTTATTTATAAATTTTATTAACGAAATGTTAATAATTAGCTAACAGAGTTAACAATCAGCTAATAGAGTTAACAATCAGTTAACAGAATTAACAATCAGTTAACAAAACTAATAATTAACTAACAGAATTAAAAAAACGTTATAACTTGACGTTAAGTAATTAAGTATGGGTTATTTTTTTCGATTCGTATATGTGAGAGGTTAAAATGTATAAATTTATTAAGGTAAAGAGTTAAAAGTAAGTTTTTGCCAAAAGATTTTAGGATGTATTGTCCCAAATGGTTTTGGGAATGCTACATCCCAATAGATGTGTTGTCCCTTGGAGTCTTCTTAGGGCACATTACGTCTCTTAAAAGTATTGGGCATGAATCGTTCCAAAAAATACAATAACGCAGCGTCCCTAAAGAGTTTTTGGACCAAAATCACATCCCCAAAACCTTTAGGTAGGCCACCTTAGAGAACGACCATGGGGATGCAAAAATTTGTACCCAATGCCTTTGCAATCGAATTTTAATGCCTATGAGGACAATTTTCGTTGCCTCTAAACATTACTTTTTGTTAGTGTATCTTTTGAAATGGAGGGAGTAACAATGACAACAAGAAGTACTAATTCTTTTAATGGTATTAAATTTTTATTCTTATTTTCCTAATAATTATAATAATATGTTACCAAAACACATAATATATTATACAAATTTTTAAACACATAATTTGTTAAAAAAAACACTAATAATATTTACTCCCTCTACTTAATTTTAATAGACATAACTTTTTTTATCTAATAAAGATGTAATAATTAATTGATAAAATTTATATTTATTCTTAATTAATTACTACTTAAATAAGCTTTTTTACTAATTAAAATTTTTTGTTATAATTATTTTCTTTAAAATAAAGTTAAAATAGGAATAAATATATTAAATAATATTTTTTAAAAATAAATAATTAAATCTAATGCCTCAAATTAAAAATTAGATCTATTAAAACTAAATAGAGGGAATATACTGTTAACGTAACATGCAAATTCAAGGAATGAGACAACAATTAATGATAGAAAAAAAGTGCACCTTGCTTAAATGTCAAATGCTTTCTCCAAATGATGAAAAAAGGATGTGCTTGGCGGAAGGCTTCTTCACGGACTGCAAGCTTCAATATACTTCCTATCTTCTTCAACGATTTTCTTTACAAGTACAATAGAAACGAAAATGTAACAAATTAGTTAAAAAGTAGAAGATTGATCTAATCCATTTGGGGACAGGGAGAGTATCAATCAGAGAAAATTGAGAGTAAATAATATATATGAAAAAAGTGTTTGTCAATTGAATCTCTAAAAAATTATGAAAAAAAAAGAATCAAAACTATATCTTTTCAATAAACTCTAATTTAAAAAAACTAAAATAACCTATTTTTAAATTAGAAATGAGTTTGCTTTGGTTGTCTTGTGTTGCTTTAATAAAATAACATAGTTTGAAGTGTTTTTCTTCCCAATTTTTTTGAAATTTGGTTGATAAACACTAATATGCATATAGAAAAGTGTTTTGCAGGTTGTCCTCCTAAATTTCTTTTAGAAGATTTGTCTAAAAACTCATCTTCTAATTAATATTTTTAAAAACTAACAATTGAATTAAAAGTTTTATTTATATAAATCATGCAGACTAATTTTGAAATTATTTTAATAGATTTAACCATTTCATTGATTATAAGAAATTTATCATTATTAAATATATGTTAAAAAATAGAGTTTCTTTAGTCAAATAGTTGTAAGTGTTAAATTAATATAAAAATTGATATGCATGATTTACATGAATTGAACTTTTAATTCAACAATCAATTTTTAAAAATATTAATTAGAATATGAATTTTTTTTGTAGGTCCTTCAAAAGATATTTTAGGAGGACGACTAACTTTGCACTATTGTCATATATATAGTAGGAATCCACTGACATATAAATTACATAATACACCTATATAAGATTTTAACTATTCATCTTTATACTTTCAATAATTGAGATTTTATCATGACTTTTTAGATGAAAAGGTACTTATCTTTAATAAATATGAACAAATTTCAACTATATATTGAAATTAGAGAGATAAATGATTGAAATTTTACATATGTAAAATGTATAAGACTTGTATGTAACTAAATCCTTATATATATATATATATATATGAATGTGAAGAAAATATACAAGGGTTAAAAAAAAATTATACCTTCTGGCATGGTACTATTGTTTCTGGACCAATTTGAGAGTTTTTGATGAAGGTTGAGAATGCAAGTTGCAGCATATGGACTAGAAAAACCAAAAATGATACAATCTGCAGAAGAGAAATGAAATTAATTCTGCTTTAATTTACACTACTAGAAAAATGACGTATGCGGACCGATCATATACGGACCGAAACGTGTCGGTCCGAAAAAATAAATATTCGAACCAATATCGGTCTGAATATATTCCGGTGGGGGAAAATATACTGATGAACATATTCGGACCGGTATCGGTCCGTATATTTCTGGCGGGAGTCACAGTATAGACGCGCCAATAATATTCAGACCGTTTTCGGTCCGAATATTATTTCTGAAAAAAATAAATATTAAATACCAAAAAA